TAAAGAATCCCAACAAGAAAGTGTTAAACGAATGTGAGGAAACCTATTGGCTACAATAAAAAGCAGGACGCAGCGAGCGCTTGTCTTGCGAAGCGAGTGGTTGAGTTCCGTAAAGAAGAACAAGGAAGTAAGAAAGGATGGTTTCTCCTCACCCACCAGAAACTCACCTTCCCTTGCAAAAACTATTTGCCCCCAGGACTTTTTACAAAATGGAAACTTGAAGTTAAAGTATGAAGCAACCAAAAGCCGAGGGAAGAGCAGTCTAACCTCTCGCTCCTCGCTAGCAATAGCAATGCTGCCATCTTTGTTGTACTTAATAGGAGAGCCTCCCTCTTGGATCAGAGTGCCATAGCCGGTGGGAGTGAAGAAGGCTGGAATCCCAGCACCTCCTGCCCTGATCCTCTCTGCAAGAGTCCCCTGTGGTAAGGAAGAGACAAATTTATTGGAACCGAGCCATGATCTGAAGAATTTACATTTTTGATAAACATAAAAAAGGGTGTTGTTAAAGTTTAACTTATTGACAACATTAATTGTTTTCTTTGTAATGTCTGCGCTGTATTATAATGTTTCTACACCAACCTGTGGCGTCAGCTCCACTTCCAGCTCTCCTGACAAATACTGTCTCTCAAACTCGGCGTTCTCTCCTACGTAGGAGGAAATCATCCTTTTGATCTGCTTGGTCTGCAGCAACAGGCCCAGGCCAAAGTTATCCACTCTAGGAAAAAAAAAATTGTTATAAAAGAATTTAAAAGAATCTTTAGGATATTTTTTTGAATCACCTAAATTAATTTGGATCAGTTTTGGGTCACAAGGTAAGAAGGCACAAAGACTACATTTTTGTTGGTATAACTGAAAAAAAAATACTTCTACTTCTGCAAATTTAATAAATTATAAACCATTTACAAACACAGAATCAGCATACCTCCTAATTTCCACACTGACATAAAAAAAAAACAACAAAAAAAACACAAACACTCTTACCCTGCATTATTACTGACTGCAGTGATGCCCTTTACGCCAGTCTTCAGCAAGCTGTTGATTAGATTCTCTGGAATCCCACACAACCCAAAGCCTGTGTTGGAAAATACCAGACAAATAATAACGACATAAAACAGCAATAATAAGCAGAATCACTGTGTGAAAGGTGACACATCAAGATCAAGTTGAACTTTCACCTTGTATGTTTGGGACATGTCAAATTTGTAGAGCAAATAGGCACATGACAATTACAAATCACACACAAAAACCCAAAGTCCAAGGATCGTGGATGACGCCATTGGAAATTCAACTTCTTTAAATGACACACTGATCAGATGATCTTGTCCATCAAAGTCGTGCATTTATGATTGTTGTGCCATCATAAACTTTAGAAATCTAGGCTATTGAGTCTAACGAGTGAAATATTTTACCAAAACACTCAGAGGTTAATGTTTTATTATTGCCTTTACATGAGACTTCCCTCAAACAGGAATGTGACGCAGTGGAAAATGTTCAACAATGCCACTGTGAGCTTGACTATAAATAAGTGACAAAGAATTTGTGCGTGCTCAATGTTTAAATTGTAATCAGCCAGCATGCTCAGGCTAACACCTCTTCGTAGTAAAGTTGCCACTGCACAGATACTATGCGACTGAAGCCATTCTGTTGAAGTAGATGTTCCTTTTTTTTTTAGAAAATGCTAACTATTACCTCCAACCAGAATAGTAGCACCATTAGGAATATCCTTCACTGCCTCCGTTGGATCTGAGTAGAACTGCGAACTTCTCGGGCTGGACGTGGAAAAGTAGCAACCACAAGTCTGCAGAAAGAACATGAGGGAATGAGTTGGGTGCATGGACTGACATCTTTTAATTGATGAAGTTGGAGAGGATATTCTGCCCTACCCTCACACATATAATGGTTGATAGTTGTTGGGTTGTCTCATTATTCATAACCAAACAAATCCTGACCAACAACGATAATGGTAATCAGGGGCTCAAAAATCTTAGACATTACATTATTTAGAAGATCTAGCCTGCAGGTTGGAATACAGTGTCGTGATTTAATTGTCTTCCACACATAAATAACTGAACAATGCAGCGACCAATAGCAACCCTGTAGTTTCGGGGTCTCAAATGCAGGTTGCTCAGTTTGTGCAGTAGCAGAAAAGTAACACGTTACATTTTTAGAGGTAGATTCAGAAAAGGTTGCGTCGCCCTCCCTCCATGCACCGATTGGAATTTGCTTCACATCCCCCCACAATTTGAAAAGCTTGACACACCACTGGTTGCAGGTTTGAATGCAGCTTCTCTGCATTCAAGCTCCTAGTTATGATTAGACAATCACGCAATCAACTTCCTGCACCAACAGGTGTTCTGTTTATCAATGCTACCCGTAAATCCGTCCTATCTCCTGGTAATGCACCGATAGTCAGAACACCGGCTGTTTAGCAGGTCTTTTTGGAGCATTTTAATAAATGCATTCTTTCTAAAATAAAACTTTTGCATCCGTTTTTGTTTTAGGTGTGTATTTTAGGTTTGATGATGATAAAAAAGTAAATTGCTTATGCATATTTGATATGTCAAATTAACAATTTACTGTCCATTATAGATATGAACAAAAGCCCATACCCGAGTAAAACTGGACCATTTATTACAATCTTAGCTGGGCGCAAACATTTATCAAGTACTGCGTCCTTGCAGACTTTTAGCTGTACTTCCAAGGTACGTCCTTGGGTATCGAGAGGCTAATGTGATCTCGAGTTTTGCAGCCAACAAAGAGAAACTCCTTCGCGATAGTTAAGACACCTCAACCACTCCAACTTTTGGTCCTTCTAAGATACATTTGAGCTATAGTTCAAAAACAGACCTTTAGGAGGCGGTGGCTGGCGAAGTTTACTCTGGCTCTTCGGTGACCTGCGAGGTTTTTGAAGAGTAAGCCCTCGGCTCTGCAAAACGCTGTAAGGGTCGCCATCTTTTTTGGATGTATACACGAGGGTTAAATTAATTATGCAGCAGGCTGAAAGACAACTGAATGTGCCTTGGTGCCCTCCCCTAATAGCTCTACGACATGTGTCGGCGTTCTTAAACACTCTTCACAAAGGGGATGTTTTCAAAGGCATGACCTGCTCATTTAATTTTAACCCTTTCGCCACCGCTTTGCTATAGCTTTATGCGGGGTAAAAATAACATGAAATTAATTTGGCTTTGACGTAATTTCGTAAGGCCATGTGACAAGAGGCAAGCCAAAAAAACGATTTTGTTTTTATAAACTTTGTTTTGAGAAGCGCCTTTACGACCAGGAGAAAAACGCACGTCAAAAAGGTTGAGAAAACCCTAGACCTAGAAAGAATAGAACTTGCATGAGCTACGCAGCGTTGCCACCATATTGTGAGTGGCATTTTGTAGACGAGTACAACCCAGTTACAATCCAGATACCCTGTGGAGGAAACCTTATTTTTCGCTTGTATCTGCGATCTTGTTCTTTTGATCACCCAGAGCATGAAACCATGGATGATGGTATAAAAATGGAGATTGACCAGTAAATTGAGAGCTTTTCCTTTTAGTTCTGTTCTCTCTGTGACCGGTACACCATCACTCCAGATGCTACACTATAGGGCTGTGTAATAATATCGATTTTGCAATATATATCGATATTTTCTTTCCTAGAAAAAAATTATATTCATCCGCAAATATCGTACAATGTTACGTAACATCCAACTGTCACCTTGCTCACTCACTACTTGCTTCGCCGGGAGAGTGATTAGGTCATCAGGCTTAGAGTGATTCCTTCAGATGTTAAGTGTCAAAGTTAAAAAGATATCAAACTATTCAGAGCAGGGTACTTGGTGCACTTTATTTACTTTACAAATGCATGTAAGCTACAGTTTGTATTGTTTCAACTAAAAGAAACATGTTTTCTCACCGCTTTGATTCATTTTGTCCAGCTGTCGACTTTAAGTCTGTGTCTATGTCCAACCAGAGCCAGGTATTGTTTAGTTGGTGCTTTTAATCAGTTTTCAGTTAAATTTATTCAATCCAACTTTATAACAGTCACAAAATGTCATCAAAATCACTCTGTCCCTCTAAAATCTTTCAGAAAATTGCAAAAGTGTATTGAATTGTATTGTTTGCTGAATATCGCAATATATATTGTATCGTGAGCAGAATATCGTGTATCGTATCGTGAGATTATTGTATCACTACAGCCCTACTTCACAAGTCTGCCTGTTGATCTCCTGCTCAATTTTTCTCTTATTATATTATTTGAACCATGATGATTCATTCTTGTCTCTAACCTAGAGAGGACTATTTACCCTCAAGACCATAGTCTTAAATTTGGAGGTGCTGATTTTCATCCTAGCTGCTTCACACTCAGAGTGCTCCAGTGAAAACCAGAGATCATTATTTGATGAAGCTAATAGAACCCCATCATCCACAAAAAGCAGAGACTCAACCGCGAGATCACTAAAATTGATCTCTTTAATAGCTTGACTGCACCTAGAAATGATTTCCACAAAGGTTATGAACAGAATTGGTGACAGAGGGTAACTTTCTCAGAATGACAGACACTGAATTTGGAGTTTATATGTAAGTTATATTCATAAAAATTCCAAGAAAACAGGGCTTGACATATTTCACTCCTTGAGCAACAAATCAACATAATATGTGAGAGTTATAACGCGAATGATTGACTAAATTGATTTTTTATACAATATTCTGTTCTTTTGATATGTATACCTTCATGTTAATTATGGATAGAGTTCTGCTATGATCTGTTGATTTGTAGCTTGCAAGAATTTCAGATCTATCTTCTTTTGTCTATTTTTGCCCTGGATCTCACAGTGAGAACAAGGTGGCTATAGGCACCATTGAGTTCTTTTGAGAGACAAATTAAATGTGAATTTGCCTCTCCCAATATGGCGAACCCGCTGACTTGAGATGCCTGTTGACGTTTTGTTCTCACTGGCCAACGAAGCCAAAGCAGCGTCTACTCGTTCTACGTCTACCTCAGTAACCACCTGCTCACGTGACGTATACTTTGTGTAGTCATGGCAGACGACTACAGGCGACACGATTTTGAGTTGGAGAGGAGAATATTTGAGATAGACAACAAATGTTCATGTCTCCGCGCTGAAAAGCAAGGTATCGATTACCCATAGCGCTCTATTATTTTTTGCTTTGTGACTGTCTTGAATATTTTCTTTTCAGAAGAGAATTTATTTTTTTTTCCCTGGGTTGTTTAGCTGAGAAGCTAACTAACGAACGTTAGCTTGCAGCCATAGCAACAACTGATGTCTAAAACTATGCGGTTTGACAACTCATTTACTTTAACTTTTAACCAACCGGTAGCTCAGCAGCTTCATAATGACGTTTATTGTCTAAGTTGTGGTTTGTTTTGTACTTGTTGTTTTTTTACGCATATATAGTTAATGGCGAACAGTGAAACATTAGCTTAAATACAGTTGAGGAATGTTATTTAAGAAACTGACGCTAAACCAGATACAAAAATAAACAGTTGGAATCATTGTTTGCCGTAGAATGTAAGCATTGCGTCCCATTGCGATATAACTGCACACCACTGAGCACGTTTAGTCTGACCACAACATGACTCCCCAAAAGCTAACCTCTGCGCTTTCGATGCTAAGAAAGCCTTTCAGAAGTTGTTTCTAATTTTCGTGCATTTTTAATGTATCGCCTAAGGTGTGAGTATTAACGTTATTTATTTATTTTTTTTTCTGTTTTAATAGATGATGACTATTTGCAGAATGCGTCTGCAATACTAGAGAAGTTGAAGGGCTTTTACAGACATGGAGGAGAAAGCTTGAACCTTTCCAAGCTGCTTCAGGATTACACACAGGTTTTTCTTCACTCAGCAATCCATTATTCTGCCACTAAAGGGTTTCTTGTAAAACAGAAATATGTATCAGATTGCTTGATTCCTCAGAATGGGAATCCTGACAGCACTTATCACATTCAACCAGCATGTTCTTTGCTGTTTGTTTATGAGATCCATTTCACAAGGTGGCGCACTTATTAGCTTTGTTGCACCCCCTTGGGTGGAAGTGGGTTTTCCTCATATTTGCTTGTGTCACCCACAAAAATGAATGTTAGGTTAGTTGGTCTCTCTAAATTGCTATTAGGTGTAACAGAATGGTTATTTGTCCCACGCTTGTATTTGTATTGTCCAAGGTGAATTCTGGTCTCACTCATTTACTGCTGGAAATGAGCATCAGCTTCCCCATAGCCCAGCATGTGTAATTGTTCTGGTTTCTGTTTGTATATTTAAATATACATAAATATGTGTGGAGTTTCCCCCAAATGAATGAATGCATAATCCCTTATTAACATTTGGGTAAATTGCATCAGATCAAAGAGACTGATCTGTGTTGTAGGAGGAGTTCAGACTTTAAGTCTAATTTCTGAGTTAAAACTTCCTGTAAGCACACGTTTGCCTACATTTAGCCACTGCAGATACTTTTCGATATGTCCCTCTGTGTGTGGTGTTAAACTAAGCAGCATAAATGCGTGAAGTTGATCGTATTCTCGTTCAGCCTTAAAAAGGTTTAGCTGCAGACACTCTTGTTTATGCTTACCTGGTATAAAGCTAGTTTAGTTTTGCAGCTATTTTAAGAAAACAATGCAAGCAAAACCCGTGTGTGATTAAAAAGGGGATTTAAAGTGAAGAGCCAGGATTGTTTACCATGATTCAAACATTTTACCAGGAAGCAAATTCCCTCGAATTTCAGTCTGAACAAACTCTCCTTTTTTGCTGATGATGCATCAACAGCGATGGTAATTTAGCTCAAAATGCACATTTAGATGAGACACAGTAAAAGTCAAAGAGGGGCTTTGTTAAAGCAAATGACAAGTCTCAAAATTAAAAGCACTCTTAATTAAAGACTTCAGTAATTGTGCATCTGTGTACTACTTTAGGGTATATTGCATTTTTGTAGTAGTATTTGAACTTTTATTTCTTTGCTTTATGTATTGATCTGTATTTGTTTTTTTTTTCTATGTAGGTGATTCTTGACATCACTTTCTATGAAGAGAATCAATTGGTGGATCAGGAATTCCCCGAAGACTCCTCACCATTTAAGATCCAGCAGCTGCTGCAAGACCTGACTGAGCCAGAGGTGTTGGTGGCACGGCTGGCACCAGGACAGGAGGTGTGTATGTTTCTATGAACAGTTTTATTTCAGAGTCTGTTATTCAAATATTCCACTGAATATAGGCACACTAAAGAAAAAGATACACCCACCATAGCCAGTATAACCAGCAGGGTTTTCTGTTATTTTTCTTCAGCTAACTGATAAAAATTCTTTCCACATGTATTTTATTGATTTCATTTTTTGCAATATTTTTTACCTGACATGGATGTGTGTCAGGTGGGTGATTTGTTTACATAGCGGTCTGTCGTCATGAAACTGTATTGTTGGTTTATGTTGGTGTTTAATAGGTGCAGTGCGTGTTGGGCACAGAGCTGTTGGAATGTCTCTACTGGAGACGTGGAGCTCTGCTGTACATGTACTGCCACACCCTTCATCAGCGAAAGCAATGGATCAAGAAGAACAAGGACACATTCATTAAGGTAACACACTGTAAATGTACTTTGCTTTGGAGAAGTAGTCATACCTCTTGAACTTTTTCACATTGTGCCACAGTATAACCACAGACAATGATGGATTTTATTTGTAATTGTATGTGATAAAAGTATTCAAACTAATGCATAATTAGAAGAAAATGACATGGGTTTTGAAAAAAAAAAAAAAATATATATATATATATATATATATATATATATATATATATATATATATATATTTTTTTTTTTTTTAAAAAAAAAAAAAAAAAACTGGTGTGTGTGTTT